ACACACACACACACACACACACACACACACACACACACACACACACACACACACACACACACACACACAGAGTGTCTTTGTTCTGTTAGGGTCTCTTGTGCTCCACAAACTCACAAACACTGACTCATCAACACACAATCAGTCAACACTGGGGTTTTCCTCTATTTATTCACCGGCATTCTGTGTTCATACACAAACATTCACTAGTGGTTGTAGTTTTTGTAGTTGCATCTCTTTAATTTGGAATCAAATAAATGTAATAAATGAGCATTATTGATGCTTTATTTTAACCAGTTAAAGAACACGCTTGCCTTATATTTCACCCCAAAACGACAAGAAAGAAACCGTGTTATTTTAGTATAATTGAGATACAATTTTTTATTAATATTTTGAATTAGTTTTTAGTTTTATATTTATATTTTTGATTTTCATTTTAGAGTTTTAGTAATTTTGTTGTTTTGTCTTTTTTGTCAGTTTTTATTAATTTTTTTATTCAGTTTTAGTAATTTAGCGCATCAAGTTAAACTACCTTTACAAAAAGTATTCTGTATTTTGTTTAGTTTCAGCTAATGTTTATTTTATTTTAAGCAATGAAAATGTTTATTTTTTTCTGGAAAGAAAGACATACAAGAAAGAAACTGGATTCTTGCATATGATGTTATTTATGTTTAAATTCTTGTATTGAAGTATTACTGTATGACTAACTGTATTACAAATGAGAAAAATAAGAAATTCTTTAATAATATTAATATTTATTATACATTTTAGATATAATATTTATTATGTAATGTATAATATAAAATATTTTATTATTTGTTTTTATTTTTAAATTAAGGGCTATATTACAGCAATAGAGTAAATGTCTTGAAATGTTACTCTATTATTATATTTATTATTACTCCATTGTAATTAATAAAAAATTATCCATTGTTCCACTGTCTTTATGCAATTTATTTTTTGTTGTTGTAGTTTATTGTGGTGAAATATGATTCAGCCGGTGTATCTGTATGATAACACTTGTTTAAATCTCCTCGTACTTCATTTGCGTTAGTTGTTGGTGTGTTTAAGAGCTGTAAAATATGAGTCCGAATCAGCGAGCGAGTGTGTTTATGTGCTGACTCAGGACACAAGCAGTGACGTGTGTGAGTGTCTGTGTGTGTGTGTGTGTGTGTGTGTGTGTGTGTGTGTGTGTGTGTGGGACAGTTGCTGTCAGGTCTTGTCTTATCAGACTGGACACAGTGTTTTCATGTGCGTCGTTGATTCCCGTCAGCACACAATGCCTCCTGAGACGCAGACGGAGGGAGAGGTGATAAGACGTCAGGTGCAAGGTCGAGCTCGCCGATAAGATGCAGCTAGAAATCTCTGCTGACCAGAAATACAGACACTGCCATTATTTACTCTCACTCATATCGTTCCAAACCCATATGACTTTGTTTCTTCAGCGAGACACAAAAGGAGACGTTAGCAGAGTGTTCGGTGAGGAGCAGCGTGAACCATCTGCTAAACATCTCCTTTTGTGTTCCACAGCACATGAGCGAGAGGAAATGATTTTCATATGAATGTCTGAAGTATTCATCATATGTAAGGTGAACGAGTGGATGATTGACAGCAGCTTATGAGGTTTGATAAGATGATGTACAACCGTCTCGTTTCATACTCCACAACTGGAATAATACAGATGTGGAGGAACATGCATTTAATGCATGTTTAAACGGAGACATGAGCACTAAAACGCGTGTGCTGAGAGAAGCCTTCCAGACAAACCACTGCTGTTAAAGTACACTAAAAAACAGATTTCGTTTCATTGAAATAATGCTGAAATAAATATAAATATTAGATTTAAAAAATGCAAATGTTGCTTTGGAATTAAATAAAATAAGTTTAAGTACTAAAATCACTAAAACTGAAATAAAAATAAATTAAAGCTAAATGAAATAGGCCTATTTAAAAACAGAAAAAGTCCTAAAAGTGACAAAAGCACAATCAAATTCTTAGTTTAAATTAAAATGAAAACTAAAAAATATAATATCAGTGCTGTTAATGTACACTAAAACTGTTAAAAACGGGTTTCATTTAGCTGAAATAAAAGATATTAAATACAAAAAATTACAAATGTTGCCTTGGAATTAAATAAGTTTAAGTACTAAAATGACTACAACTGAAAAATATTAATAAAAGCGAAGTGATATATATATATATATATATATATATATATATATATAGAAACAAAGTAATAAAAATGACAAAAGCACATAATCAAATTTTTTAAATTTAAACTAAAATGAAAATAAAAACTAAAAAATAATTTTCTACATTATTTGTTATTTTTTTAAATATCCAAAAAGATAATTTATTAAACATTTTTTCATAATAAAAAAAAGTTACATTTAACAAATTAACAAGTTAAATAAATTTGAATAAAATTAAGAAAAAAAATGATATATATATATATATATATATATATATATATATATATAGAAACAAAGTAATAAAAATGACAAAAGCACATAATCAAATTTTTTAAATTTAAACTAAAATGAAAATAAAAACTAAAAAATAATGTTAATGAATACCATAATGTAGCAATATAAATAATACTATTAGTATAGTATATAATATGGTACATAATGTACTATATAGAATTACAGTGCATAAAAAGTAGCATTGAACTACCATGAAGTTCCTAAAATACCCATGTAAATGTCATTTGTACATTAATGTTTACTTTAAAGTACTATCCTATAGTATTACCTTGTGATAGCATCACTACTATACTGCCACAGTACATGTTTGTAAAGCAAAAACAGCAAAACGCAACTCTAACTAAAAAGTGTAATGGTATTACCATGTTTTATTGGTTATTCCATTATGCTGAATAATCGCCATTTTCAAGTATTAAAAAAATGATACTCTTAACATACTAAAAAGTAGCGTTTACATTACCATGATGTTCTTAAAATACCCATATAAATGTCGTTTTTACATGAATTTACACTTTAAAGTACTATAGTATTATCATGTGATGCCATCGCTTTACTATGGTACTGCCACAGTGCAATTTTTAAGGCAAAAACAGCAAGACGCAACACTAACCAGTAATACCATGCTTTTTACCAAGCGTTTTTGGACATGTACAATGGTAATACCATTATATAAATATAAACACACATATCATATTCAGGGCAATCTAACATACTTTAAAGAAAACAAGATAAAGCATTTTTGTTAGTAAATGATGTGGTTTGGGAGGTTTTGTGTGATTTGTTCAGTTTGACTGAAGGGTTTTTGTGATTTCTTGAGACTAAAACCATCAGGACACTAGATGAAACTGAAAGTGATTCATATGAATGAGAAAGAAGAGGAAGCCGGGCACCTGATCTTGTAAAAGTCATTACAACCCACATCTGGTCTGGAAACCTACTTTAGTTGGTCACTCGTGTCGTGAACTTGATCTCTATGGCTTGTGTTCTTCATTATTGCTCTCAGTTTTACTGTAACGATGCGTGGGCCGAAACGGGAAGGCCAACAATGACTGTCATGTTATTCAGGAAGGGACACACCTGCTTCCTTTTCCTGTACGGAAATCAGAATCCCACTTTAGCCGCAAACGCACAGGCAAACAGAAGCTGGACCTTTGTGTCTGTTCACTAGTCAGAATGATATCAGTTATGTTTAGAAACCCATATTGTGCTTGTTCATCCCACTGGGAGTCTGCAAACACAATCCTAGAGCCACCAGAGTGCTGTGCGTTATTCACAACAGTGAGAGTTTCACTCTTTAGTTTCTATGTGGTAGAGCAACACCCTAGCAACCATATAGAAATGCATTAACAAGCACCTAGGGCATCCTAGCAACTGCATAGCAACATATCAGAATCCACCCATACCACCTCAGGAACCACATAGCAACACCCTAGCAACTGCATAGCAACATATCAGAATCCACCCATACCACCTCAGGAACCACATAGCAACACCCTAGCAACCGCATGGCAACATATCAGAATCCACCCATACCACTTCAGGAACCACATAGCAACACCCTAGCAACTGCATAGCAACATATCAGAATCCACCCATACCACCTCAGGAACCACATAGCAACACCCTAGCAACCGCATAGCAACATATCAGAATCCACCCATACCACCTCAGGAACCACATAGCAACACCCTAGCAACCGCATAGCAACATATCAGAATCCACCCATAGCAACGTATCAGAATCCACCCATACCACCTCAGGAACCACATAGCAACACCCTAGCAACTGCATAGGAACAACACCCAAAACACCCTAGCAACAACTAAGAGCAACATACATCTGTGCCCTAAAAACATCTAGAACCTCATAGCAACATGCTAAAAACCACTTAGAACACCTCAACAATCATATAGCAACCCCTTAGCAACAGCACAGAGCACCTTAACAACTGTATGTCAGTGACATAGAAAACATCTAGAACACTTTAGAAGCCATCTAGCAACATATCAAAACCCACTCATAACACCCTAGCAACTGCATAGTAACGCCCTAGCAACTACTCAGAACACTATAGCAACTGTATAGATATGCCTTAGTGAACACCTAGAACTCCTTAGAAACCACATGACAACATATCAAAATTCACTCATAACATACATAGCAACACCATAGCAACACCTCAAAAACTATAGCAATCATATATCAATGCCCTAGAAAACACCTCATAGCAACCTGCTGAAAATCACTTGTAACACCTCAGCAACCATATAGCCATAACACTATAGCAACCGTATAGATATGTCCAGGCAAACACCTAGAACACCCTAGCAACCGCATAGCAACACATTAAGCCCACTCATAACACTGTAAGCAACCACATAGCAACAACTCTGAACACTATAGCAACCATATTTCAGTGTCTTAGCAAACACCTAGAACTCCCTAGGAACCCCATAGCAACATGTCAAAACCCAGTCATAACACCCTACTAACCACATAGTAACATCCTAGCAACTATCCAGAACATTATAGCAACCATGTAGATGTGGTCTAGCAAACACCTAGACAACACACTGACTGACAGTGTATATACACACATAGCAGGTATTTTTCACTGTGTTGTTATCTGTTTCAGGCGCAGCCGTTGTCCCCGTCACCGTCACCAGCCGCAGTCCTGGAGTGGAAGTGCATGAGTTCTCGGGTGAGTGTGTGTGTGTGTGTGTGTGTGTGTGTGTGTGTTTGCGTCGTCATGGAGACATCAGTCAGATGATGTGCTGTAACTCCATCACGTCTGCTGTTCTCCACAGACGCTGAGCTCTCCTGTGAGTTCAGGACAGAAAACGACAAGAATCCTCGCATCGAGTGGAAGAAGATCGACAAGGATGTGTCCTTCGTTTATTATGACGGCCGTTTTGTAGGTAACCAACGCTTGTGACCTATCAAATGAGAAATTAAGTTAGTAACTGCTTAGAACACACTAGCAACCATATAGCAATGTCCTAGTAAACACCTAAAATATCCTAGCAACCACATACTAACATATAAAAACCCATACCACCTCTGGAACCACATGGCAACACCCTAGCAACCACTCATAACACCCTAGCAACTACTCAGCACACCATATATTAATGACCTTAACACCTAGAATATTCTAGCAACTGAATAACAACATATCAAAAACCAGTCATACCACCTCTGGAACCACATAGCAACACCCTAGAAACCACACAGGTTTACAACCATATATTAATGCCCTTAACACTTACAATATTCTTGCAACCGCATAGCAACATAACAAGACCCACTCGTACCACCTCAGGAACCCCATAGCAACACCCTAGCAACCAAGGCAAGACATAGCTCTGCCCTAGAAAACCAACTCATACCATCTCTAGAACCACTTAGCAACACCCTAACAACCACTAATAACACCCCAGCAACTATTTAGCACACAACAGCAACCAGATATTAATGCCCTTAGCACTTAGAGCATTCTATTCTAGCAGCTGCAAAGCAACATCAAAACCCACTCGTACCACCTCAGGAACCCCATAGTAACACCATAGCAACCATATATTAATGCCCTTAACACTTACAATATTCTAGCAACCACATAGCAACATATCAAAACCCACTCATACCACTTTAGAAAGCACATAGCAACACCCTAGCAACTACTCAAAACACTATGGCAACCACATAGCAACACCCTAGCAACCATTCAGGACACTCTAGCATCTGCATAGCAACACAATAGTAAACACTCAGGACACCATAGCAACCATATATTAAGCCCCATAACATTTAGATTATTTTAGCAACTGCATAGCAACATATCAAAACCCACTCATACTACCACAGCATCCACATAGCAACACCCTAGCAACCACTCATATCACCCCAGCGCCTGCATAGCATAGCAACCACAACACTGGAGCACAGGCAAACACGATTTCAGTCTGAAAATCTATTTTTTTGTTCTCATAGTTGCATGTTAAAGCCGTTTGACTGTTGTCTTGTAATCAGTGAGATTTCCCTTATAATCAGAACAGGAAGTGCACAGATTCTGTGTGACACAATATAAATGACTGCAGTGGAGGTTAAAGAGATGAGTCTATTTATGCGTCTGATTCTGACATGAGCGTCAGTCCAACAGCTCACTTCCTGTAGAAACATACTCCTTTTCAACTTTACTCGAGTAAAAGTACTAAAGTAGATTATTTTTTTATGTACTGAATGTTTGTTTTAATTCTTTTGCAAGAAATGATAATTCATGAGTGCAAACAAAATGAATCGTTTAGTGTGATTTGGGAACCGATTCACGCATCTATCCCGTCCCAGAGCAGGTGACGATTTCTCCAGTTCGAAATAATGAGGAACGACATGATTTTATAAAATGTAGTGGAGTAAATAGTACAATATTGTGCTATAAAAGCCTGTTTCTGCTACTGAATAATAATAATTAAAAAAAAAGGTAATTGTGACTTTTTATCTCAGAATTCCGTGATAGAAACTTGCAATTGTAAGAAAATAGTCAGTCTTTTTTTCCCCTTAGGATTGGTCTTTATAACTCGCAACTGCAAGCTTATATCTCACTCTTCTGAGGAAAGTCAGAATTGTGCAAAAAAGCGTGTGAGTGTGAGTGTGAGTGTGTGTGAGTGTGTGAGTGTGAGTGTGAGTGTG